AAACTGACCCCTCACTTTGTGAACACTGTAGTTTCTATACATTTATATTCCAGAGAATGTAAATAAATCTAAAAGACACGACTGTGAAGTTAATCAGTATTTCATTGATTGGTTCGTTTTCTGCGTCATATTAACACTTTGCAGGTTATTTAAAGCCATAAAATATTTTTAGATTGTGAGATTTTTTTAAGGCATTGAATGTAACCTGCCAGATTTACCCCCCACCCACTGAGATTTTAGAGCTAGATCAGATGAGAGATCTGCTGCCAAACACTGGTCATCACGGGTTTTGGAGGTGCACCCCTATATTGTATCACCTGCATAGATATTCATAAATGATCTGAGTATACTCTTAGGCAGATCGTTTAGGTAAAGCAAGAAGAGAGTTAGTCCAAGAAGTCACCTTCGGGTGACACCTGTGTTGATTGCTAGGGCCATGGGGGACTGGCTGTTAACAACTACTTCCAGTTATCCACCCGTTGTTGATAATGTTTTGTGGTAATAGTTTCTTTGAGGTCTCATGATTCACAGAACACGATTAATGCCGTATCCTATTCCATGGATAAAGTCTTGCTTCCCTTGCACTCATGTTATGTCCTATCAGATACATGGCATCATCTTCTGTGGATAAATTCTTGGTAAAATTGGTCTGGTAAACCTGTAGCCACATTATCTTTACTCTCAATGAAAAGCTAACATCCATAATTGAAAAGTATGGAAGCACAAAAAAAGTAAGATTAAATTATATTTTCTTTTTTTTAGCCTGTAAAAATTTAGTTCATTTCGTTAATTTCAGGTCAAATTTTAAAAGAAAATATTTCGATTATTATTTTTTTTTTATTTTTTTTTTTGCTTCGTTTTCTGATCAATACCATTACTAGATTTTTAAGATTTACCCTAAGGAGAGCTTAATGCTATTTTTTTCTATATGCTGTGTCTCTTTGAGATGTAATCATGGCTCTCCACAATGCCCTGTCCTTTGTAGTGTTTAATTTTTTTTATCTCCTCTAACACAAGTTTGCTATGTAGGTTATGCATTGATTTCCTCTGTCCCTCTTGCTGTCAAACTGTCCTGTGAGTATCAAATTTTCCAAGCCTTCTTTCCTCATTATGTGCTCTAGAAATTTGAGCTGTATATATTTGATGTTAATCATAAATGTCCTTTTTGTTTTCATTTTCTCAAAAACTTCGTCATTGTTCACATGTTCTGTCCATGGTATCCTCAGCATCCTTCTGTATAACCACATTTATATTGCTTCAGGTCTCTTCTTCATCTGTGTGGAGATTGTCCAGAATTCACTAACATATAGGAGGACTGATATCATGTAGTAGTACTCTTTTTCTTGTTTCTAGCAAAATTTTTATTTCAAAGACTGTTTAGCTTTTGGAATGCTTCCTTGGCTATCCCAAAACGCCTTCAGATTTCATTGTCACACTTTCCGCCATCTGTTAAAACACTTCCCATATATTTAAATTTCCGCACTGGTTTGATTTTGATATCTCTGATTTGCAGTTCACACTTGGGACGCATCCTTTTGCTAACAACCATGCATTCTGTCTTCTTGCCGTTGATGTTTAACCCTTTCTTCTCGCTTCCTTTCGCTATCTTCTGTAGGAAATTTTGTAGCTTTCTTTCTGTGTCTGCTATCAACACTGTGTCATCTGAATGTCTATCAACATTTTCTCATTGCTTAATACAGTAGAATCCCTGACAACTGGACTAAGAATGCCTTCTGGATATGAGGAATTGGTTACAAAGCCCGGATATGAGGGGTTATATTTAGATTAAAATAAAAGAATTGAAATCAAATTCAACATTTATTTTCAATGTTTTATAGTAAACAGTATAAACTAATGGTGAATGAATTATAATGGAATTGATTTTAAGGAAAAAGAAATAAATTATGTAATGTTAATGAAAATTCATTAAATTAAGTATGGCACGTATGCAAAACAAATAATGTAACAAGGATTTTTTAATCGCTGTTGCATGATGATTCTTTCTCTTCTAATGTCATTCTCAACTTTTCCGCATTTCGTTTTGCTTTTGTTCTTGAAATTTCTAAACAAAAGACACTTTTTAACTCTGTGTGCGTTATTGCAATCGTCATAGTTGAATGCTGGCTTTCTTTCCATAAAACTGACAACCTTTTCAATAGCTTTTTCAATTTCAGTCCAGTAAATTTCGTGAAAAAAAGAAATTTCAAATCCGTTACGTATCACCCAAATAGTTCAAATAGTCACATCAAAACCATGTCCGGATATGCGGGATTCCAAATGTGAGTCACTCCAGATGTAAGGGATTTTACTTTACTTTGCTTAACTTTCATTATCCCAATGTACTTTTAGATTTCAGTGTCACACATTCTGTCCTCTGTTAAAACACTTCCCAGATATTAAGAATTTAAAATAGAAAAAATAAAAATTAAACAATATTAATCATAATTTTTTTCATTATTTTTATTTTTAAAAACCTATAATGAATAATTAATTGGTTTTAGTTTTTTGATTTTAAGTGACAGATTTTTTTTTGTTTTTTTAGTGCATAAGTGACAGATTTTTTTTTGTTTTTTGATGCGTAAGTGACAGGTATTTTTTTTTTTCGTTTTTTGATGCGTAAGTGACAGGTATTTTTTTTTTCGTTTTTTGATGCGTAAGTGACAGGTATTTTTTTTTTTCGTTTTTTTGATGCGTAAGTGACAGGTATTTTTTTTTTTCGTTTTTTGATGCGTTTTATTTTTTTTTTTTCGTTTTTTTGATGCGTAAGTGACAGGTATTTTTTTTTGTTTTGTTTTTTATGACTGCAAAAACGTCCCCTACACCAAATTTATAGACAAATTACATTGATGCATTCAGGAATTTCTTCGTAAAATAAACTACGTCCTGGTCTCATCTACCATGTTTTTGTTCTTTCTTGTATTGAAATCAGAATTCTACAATCACTTGATTGTATTCCTTTTACATATTAACACATTTCTTCCTTTGAACTTTTTACCTTATCATTACTGTTGCTTTGACTACATTTGTCTTGCATATATATATATATATATATATATATATCAGACATAATGTGTGTAATTTATTTAATCAGACGAGTTCAAGAAAGACATTTGGGTCACTA